GTGCCTTTTAAACCTTTATGGTATAAATTAAAGAGAGACTTTTGTCAATGACAATTATGAAATATTTCAGTACCTCTGTTTAATCAACAAATGTTTAAATAGCCAAACATGACTCTGCACAGAGAGAAACAGGAGATTTACGGGACAGTACTTTGGCCAACATTTTATCTTACCAGTTCTTAACTGTGATGAAACTCTCACACAGTTACACATTCATTTTTTCCCTATAAAATAATCAGTTGCATGAAGACCTCGGCTAGGTCCACGCCACCTCCCTCTACGTATTTGTAACCATTTAATTTTCTTCTCTCTCCTTTACCATTGTAGAACTGTCCTAAGAGTCATTTGTTTTATTTAGGTCCATTTTATTTTACCTTTCTTTTGACTGAAAAAATTACATTTGAATTAGGAAAATGTTCTTTAAAAAAAGCAGGAATAGTATTATGAGATTTAAGTTAATACTGTTCCTCAGCCACTAGGCTATGCTAAAGGACAGTCCATTTGTTCAAGAACAGTTCTGTCTTCCAGATATCCAAAAAAGGAGGAAAATAAATTCGAAAACTGAGTATGAATTATTTAACGTACCTAGCTACCTAGCTGGTAAGTCATTTACTAGATGTATATGAGTTTATATAATTAGTTTATAAGACATATTCCAAACGAATAAGTAAGCCCTTTTTAAAAAAATCAAATCTGCGTCATGTGGTAATGTACAGTTTGGTTTTAAAAGAATGAAATCAGGGGCGCCTGGGTGGCTCAGTGGGTTAAAGCCTCTGCCTTCGGCTCAGGTCATGATCCCAGGGTCCTGGGATCGAGCCCCACATCGGACTCTCTGCTCAGCGGTGAGCCTGCTCCTCCCCCCTATTCTGCCTGCCTCTCTGCCTACTTGTGATCTCTGTCAAATAAATAAAATCTTTAAAAAAAAAAAAAAAGAATGAAATCATCTTTATGTTTATTTTATCCAAACTAAATATATTTTCATTTACATGTAGTCAATCCTATTTTTAAAAAACTATAATGTCTAGTCATGGACTGATTAGTTATCAGAAACATGAGCTTTTTATCAGATATATTATTTGCTTATAAAAAGGTTATTCAAAAATGCAAGAGAACCAAACACATTTATTTTAGATATTTTTCACATTAAATTTATACTCTATTTTTATACATCTAATTTATATATTATTAATATATATTATTATTAATTTATTAATATACAATTAATATATATTAAATTTATATCTAAATTTATACTCTAACTTGTGTTTAGAACCCTTTGCATTTCAACTTAGGAATGCAACTTACTGCCATTTTTTCCTTAAAACTCTAAAGAGCATACTACTATTTTCATCATCATTATTATATTAATACCTATCCTTGACTGCATACTGCATGGGGCACTGGGATTTAAAGAAGTTTAAAAAACTCACAGGGCGGTTAGGGGCACAAAAAATAAACACTGATAAACTATATTGAGGGTGGGGCGCCTGGGTGGCTCTGTGGGTTAAGAATCTGCCTTCAGCTCAGGTCACAATCTTGGGGTCCTGGGATCAAGTCCCACATCTGGCTCTCTGCTCAGTGGGGAGCCTGCATCCCCCCCTTCTCTCTCTCTGCCTGCCTCTCTGCCTACCTGCAACGTCTCTGTCAAATAAATAAACAAAATCTTAAAAATATAAGAGAGAGGTCCCACACAGGTGCTATATATATGTGGTAAATATTCATTTACATGTTATAGTAGTTCACATAAGAGATGCCATATTCTAGAACATCCAACAGGCTTTTTTTTTTTTTTTTAAGATTTTATTTATTTATTTGACAGAGATCGCAAGTAGGCAGAGAGGCAGGCAGAGAGAGAGGAGGAAGCAGGCTCCCTGCTTGAGCAGAGAGCCCAATGTGGGGCTCAATCCCAGGACCCTGGGACCATGACCTGAGCTGAAGGCAGAGGCTTTAACCCACTGAGCCATCCAGGTGCCCCAACAGGCTTTTTAAATAAAGACCCAGAGGATTTCAAAGTCTGGTTCCCAAAAGTGCTTTGAAGATAAAAATCCATAACCCTCCCAATTTACTGTTTAATCCACTTGACAAGTCTATCTAAAATAGGGGTTTGCCATATTTTAAAGATAAATTAATTTTTTTTTAACTTGACTTGCCTCTTTTTCAATTATTCATTACTTATCTGTTAATTATTCACTATAGGATGAATTATTGACAAAACACAATCCAGCCCCAAAACTGAACACTATTAATCTACTACTCTTATCCTATTATCACTTTGGCATATAATAGAGTACTTGGAAGAAACAGGTTAGTGGACTTTCTCTTCTTAAATGTAATTAAATTCAGTAAAATCCATTTATGAAACACTGCAGAAAAAAGATGGATACAGTTATGATGGAGGTCAAATCATGTTTGCCCATATGCACAGGGGTGATATTTAAAATATTTATGTGTTCCCACAAGCTCTAAGGAACCCAAACAGCTGTTTGTGCTAAAGCACCTGTACCTGCCATAGGGAAACATCACCATCACAGTTTGGATACCTTTAATTCTGGTTGATCATCGTCATTATTATGATGTCCAAAACAGATATTAGTTTTTACAGAATCGCTATTATAGAATATGATATTCTTAATTACGCCACATAACATACCAACCAGCAGAAGAGCATCACAGGTATTTTCAGTTCTAGAATTCCTTCCTTTTACATACTATAAACTAAAGAGATACCCGAAGGTCTAGAATTGCCTGTTGGTATCTTTTAGGAATAGCAGATATTAATTCATGTGGCTGCATCTAAAGTATTCCTGATCTGAATCCAAGGTGAGTTCTCGGGCTTTCCATATTAAATTGAGAGGCTATGATATATTCTCCTTAGTGATCCCCATCACCGGTAGTCTTAAACAGAAGTTAACTCCAGACCCACCTTGAGGTTCCTGACTTAGTCAAGGGCTTAGAGATAAGATTTAAACCAGCTCTCCTTCAGTGCAAAGGATTAATAAAAAAATTTTTTAAAAAGGGAAAAACCACCCAAAAACTCAAGTCTTAGCAGGGGGTTGGATGGACCCACCTGCCCTGGAACATTCTATAGGAAGGAGATGCCAAAGAGGAGAGCAGGGATTTCCACAGATGTGAAAGGCTGTAGAACTTGTCATGGGCCCAACCTCATGTTTAATCTTGGTTCCTGGGATACTCTGAAGGCTCCAGGGGTATTCACCAGGGTACAGGCCATTTGCAAATTAAGGACTGTGTTGGAATTATAATACACAGGTTCCAATGTCTTAAGGTGCCCTTCATCAAAAGAGATGGATATAAAAACAGTAGCGAAACAACTGAGTGCCTGGAATGTATGTTCCTTTATACCCAACTCTAGACTCTACTAGTTTCTAAGCACTTTAGAGTAGTAGTATTCTAACTTTCTATTCTCCAACCTCTCTATGCCAGCTGCACCCAACTTGTTTTCATTGGCCTGAAAAGTCTTTCCAGAACTCTTTCTTGCCTGTGAATATGCTATGTCCTATGACTGGGGTGCCCTTCCTCTTCCTTGCCCACTCAAATTCGTACTTCAAGTTTTATCTCAAAAGTCAGGTGTCTTGTGAGATTTTCAAGACTAACCGCAGCTAAAATCAGGTGTTCTTTCCACCAGCTCCCATTCCTCTCTTACAGCACTTATCGTTCACTATCATAATTATTTGTATACAAGCCTGAATCCCTGATTAGCCGCTTCCTTTAGGCCCGAGATGGTATACCACTGAGGTTTGTTATGGGAGGAACACATTAAGTGCTCAATCCGTGCCTGCTAAATAAATCCGTGGTGAGCAGGAAGACGGAGTAATGAGAAGAACTCTAAATATGAAATCCCAGAACTCCATCTGCATTATGAGCTGAGTCATGTTAGCCTTTAGTCTGCATTATTGCACCGAAGACGCCATGATGTGGGCTACCCAAATTATGGTTTCCTTTCAAACAGTCCACCTCTGAGCTGTTCTTCCGTCAGTGAGCCTTGTTCTGACTCGGCTTACGTTGCCCATGCAAACCAAGGAAGCAATGTGGTCGTTAGGCCTGCTAGTCATCCAAAAAAGCTTTATCTTACTGACTCATCCGTTCACTCTGCCATGGTGTTGGTGATTCGGCTCCGTAGCGGGCAGACGACACCTCTCCGTAAGGGAATGGACTTTCTTAGGCTCTTGTGTTGGCTGCTAATCTCAGAGGGAGCCACTTCAGAAGTGCTTCTATCCACTGTGAAAAAAGGTCACGTTCCTCACAGCCCTGTGCTGGGATTTGACTGCAGTGAGTCCTACAGTGTTAACCTGAGAAAGACCCAGGGTTTTTTTGTTTTTTGTTTTTCTTTCTTTTTTTTTTTTTTAAAAAACCAAACTCATTTTATGGTCTTGAAGAGTTCAGACCTGTTACCTCACCAACTACAAGGGAACAAGAGCCCTGGCTGAGATGAGGGCTGACCCCGGCCCACGGTTGTTCCCCGCCGACAGGCCCTGTGGTCCGGCTTCCCCACCAGCGTCCGCTCCTCCATTGTCGATGTGGCTTTCCACTCACACACTGCATGGACACTCACAATCCTCCCTGACAAAACTTTTCACAGCCTCCTGGTTAGATCTGAATGACATTTTAGCTTTAATATGTTTTATGTAAGTGTAACCATTTCTGGAGATGTGAATGCTATGCTTGTTTCAACCATCATTATATTTTGGAAAATATCTTTTAGAGCTTTCCAGCTATCACTACTCTTCATCGATATAAATGGGGTAGAATACCACTGGGATCAATTACCAACATTATGTTAGCATGGACACAGTTATTTTAACTAAATACCCATGTGTTTAGATATAAAGCTGTCTGGGAGTTTAAAATAGTAAGTTGTTCCATAAATGTCATTTTGGGGGAAAATTTCATGATATACTGGCTCTGTCAGTAAATGGACAAAAGGGATACGTTGAAATTAAATTCAGTAATTCAGGAGAAAAAGATGTCAAGTCCACACTTACCCACTATGTTTCATATGTGGTGGTTTATCCATTCGCACTGCTAATTTGATTTTTAAGTCAGAGTCCTGGCTATTTTTTGGAACTATCATTCGGTGAAACTCAGCTGACTTGGAGCTATTAGAAGTTGGGTATAATATCACCTGTGAGAGACCAAAAAAAAAAATTAAGTGCACAATATAATGTCTAATGATCAGAACAGAAATCTTTTCTATGTTTTCCTGTTTAAAAAGAAGGTATCATGCCCAAATGTGTCTAAACCATTTGACTCCCATCACAACAGATGGGTTTTCAATACAGACTCATTTATCTTTTTGACAACTATGTGTTTTCATATTATCACGTAATGAGTTTTCTTCCTGTGTCACTTCATAATGAGGTAAGAGCACAGAGGCTACAGTTGAATTGACAGTTGTGAAATACTTATTAGACACCTATAATTTCAAGCTATTCTAAACTCCTCAGGACAAAAGTTCAGAAAGAAATATTTTCTGAAATTATAGATAGCATGTTTAAAAAAGTAAAACCAATTATTTTAGGCAGCAAAAATAGAACTGCTGTTTTCATATTTTCATTGTAGAACAGTATGAAAGGAAATCAACTCAATTAGTGATGGAGAAGACAGATATCCTAGCACATTTTCTGCCTTAGATCAATACCAAAGGACTTTTTCCCCTTGATGACATGTTTTCAAAACCATGAAGATAATATTAGGACTGAAACAAAGTAATTATTTTTTAGCAAAACTTCCAAATTACCAAATGATTATTTCATAACTCTACAGCTTTACAAAGCCAACACAGAAGAAAAGCTTTCTCTTCAGATATTACATGCCATATACAAGCATACCTCATCTTACTACATGTCACTTCATTGTTCTTCACAGAGCCTGCATTTTACATATTGAAGGACTGTGGGACCCTGCCTGAGTAGGCCTCCTGGTGCCGTTTCGCCAACAGCATCTGCTTACCTTGCGTCTCTGTCACCTTTTGGTAATTCTCAAAATGTTTCAAATTTTTACTTTTTTTTTAAAGATTTTATTTATTTATTTGACAGAGAGAGAGAGAGAGAGATCACAAGCAGGCAGAGATGCAGGTGGGGGGTTGGGGAAGCAGGCTCCCCGCTGAGCAGAGAGCCCGATGTGGGGCTCGATCCCAGGACCCTGGGACCATGACCTGAGCCGAAGGCAGAGGCTTAACCCTCTGAGCTACCCAGGTGCCCCCAATTTTTACGTTATTATTCAATTTGTTACAGTGATCTGTGATCAGTGACAAACTATGATGTAATTACTCTAATTGTTTTGGGGCTTCACTCACCATGTTCCGGTAGGACAGCAAACTTAAATGTGTGTTTATAAATGTGTTTTCTGACTGCTTTACCAATTGATTATTACGCTGTATCTCTCCCTCTTCTTGGGTCTCCCTGTTCCCTGAGACACAACAATATTGAAATTAAGGTAATAACCTTACAACAGCCTCTGAGTGTTCAAGTTAAAGGAGGAGTCACACGTCTCACTTTAAATAAAAAACTAGAAATCACTAGGCTTAGTGAGGAAGGCATGTCAGAAGCCAAGACAGGCTGAAAGCTAAGTCTCTTGGGCTAAGTTGTCATCGTCAAGGAAAAGTTCTTGAAGGAAATTAAAAGTGTACTCTAGTGCATGCATAAGTGATAAAAAGCAAAACAGCTTTATTGTTAATACAGAGAAAGTTTTACTGGTTGGGAAAGAAGATCAAATAAGCCACAACATTCCCCAAAGCCAGAGCCTAATCCCGAGCAAGACTCTAACTTTCTTCAATTCTCTGATGACTAAGAGAGGCAAAGAAGCTACAGAAGGAAAGTCTGAATCTAGCAGAGTTGTTTCACGGGGGTTACGGAAAGAAGCCATCTCCATAACATAGAAGTACAAGGTGAAGCAGTTAGTGCTGATGTAGAAGCCCCAGCAAGTTATCTGAAGATCTGAGTAATAGAAGTGGCAACACTAAACAACACATTTTCAATGCACACTAAACAGTCTTATGTTGGAAGAAGAGGTCATCTTGGACTTTCATAGCTAGAGAGGAGAAGTCAATTACTGGCTTTAAAGCATCAAAGGGACAGGTGGACTCCCTCTTATTAGGGGCTGATGTAGCTGGTGACTTTAAATTAAAGCTAAAGCTCATTTACCTACCCTTCCAAAAATCCCTACCCTTCCAAAAATTCCAAGAATGATTCTAAATCTGCTCTGCTTGAGCTCTATACCTGGAATAACAAAGCCTTGATAACAGCACATCTGCTTACAACATGGTTCACTGGCTATTTTAAGTCCACTGTTGAGACCTACTGCTCAGAAAAAAGATTCCTTTTGGAATGTTTACTGCTTAGTGGCAATGCACCTGGTCACCAAGAGCTCTGATGGAAATGGACAATGAGATTAGTGTCCTTTCCATCCTTGCTAACACAGCAACCGTCCTGCAGTCCATGGATTGAGGAGTGATTTTCACTTTGAAGTCTAATGCAGGAAGCACATTTTGTAAGGCTAAAGCTCCCATAGAGAATGATGACTCTGATGGATCCGGCAAGGCAAAGAGAAAAGCTTTTGGAAAGGATTCACCATTCTAGATGCCATTAAGAACATTTATGATTCATGGGAAGTCAAAGTATCCACAGTAGCAGGAATTTGGAAGCAGCTGATTCCAATTCTCCTGGATGATGTTGGGAGTTTTCAAGACTTCAGTGGAGGAAGTACTGCAGATGTGGTGCAAACAGCAAGAGAACCAGATGTAGAACCTAAAGATGTGACTGAACAATTGTTCCTTGAGATACAATAACATTGGACTTAGGCCAATTAATTACCCTGCCATGGTAAATCCTTCCACTGACTTCACTTAGAAGTATCCATTAGGAAACTAAAATGTAGCAGGAATGATGATATTCAATAGTGAGATGATCCTTAGTTTGTGGATCAGATGCTATTAGTTGTTTTGGGACCTTATTCAGTAACCTGTCATCAGCGTTTAAAGAATGAGAAAATTGTCCAATGTCTTCATTTAAGTATTCTCATCTGTATAAGACTTTTGGAGTTTGGAACAGTACCAATTTTTGTGTAAACATAGAAGGAAGAGTTAAAAAGGGATAAAGTCTGTAGGTGGCTCATGCCAAAATAAATTTGGAGGGAAAAAGGATGTGGTAGGGAGAACAAGAAAAAGCTTCCCAGAATTGCTAGGGAAATGGCAGCTCTAGCTTCGGGGGTGGATATACAGCTCTTCGTCTTTGTTTTCACTTGTTGTGTTCAAGTGACACAACAAATGGCTGCAGTCTCCTGGTAACACGTTAGCAGGTAAAGAGGTGCTTCTTGTGGGCGAGTGACGGAAGTGGTTTGAGATGGAAATTCCTCCTGTTGAAGATGCTGTGGAGATTGAATTCACAACAAGGATTTAGACTATTACACAGACTCAGTTGGTAAAGCAGTGGCAGGGTTTGAAAGGACTGATTCTAATTCTGAAGGAAGTTCTACTGTTTGTAAAATGCTAGCAAATGACAGCATCCCAGGCTAGAGAAATCATTTGTTAAAGGAATAGTCGATCAATAATGGCAAACTTTGTGCGGTCTTAATTTAAGAAGTTACCATGGCCGACCTAACCTTCAGGAAGCGCCACCCTGATCAGTCAGTCAGTAATCATCAACATCAAGGCAAGATCCTCCACCAGCGAAAAGATGACAATTTCCTGAAAGCTCAGATGTTGGTTAGCATTTTTAGTAGTAAGTATTTTTTAATGAAGGTTCTGTACTTTTTAAAGACAATGTTATCACACACATAGAAGATTACAGTATAGTGTAAACATAACTTTTATATGCACTGAGAAACCAAAAAAAAAAAATCATTTGACTCACTTTTTCAGGATATCCATTTTATTGCAGAACTCTGGAACTAAAGTCACAGCATCCCTGAGGTTTGTCTGTACATAAAATGATGTATTTTCCCCTCTTTAGTCAGTCATAACATTATTTAGACATGGCCTGTATCCAAGCCTTGATATTTTTAAGTGGGAGGACTATATTCTGAAGGATACAGATATGAAAGGCAGTGTGTATTTTAAGCCGCTCTTACTTTATACCAGTGTGAAAAGTAAACAAACTTGAAATTTCTGTGTAAACGGAAGAATTATAAACATGCTCAGGTATGCTAAAATGTTCTGAAAAACAAAACACGGCAACTGAATTTGGAACGCTCTGCCAAAAAACAAAAGTCTTCATTTCCATGTATAAGTGGAACTATTTACAGAGAAATTTTGAAGCAAAGCTCTTTTTCTCTCTAGGAAAGACAGCAGTCATAAAAGCTTCTTAAACTATTCTCAACTTCCAACTTGTTAAATGCAACTGCTATTTTGAGCCTTTCCTCAAGCCTATCCTAAAAGCCACAGCAGAGTTGAATCCAGTATGTCTACACACTTAAGCATATAAAGGCACATCCAGTAACAGATAAAATGGCATTTGTGATATTTTAAAAAGTGTTATTATAGAATTAATCCCTTGTGACAGCTAAAATAGCCAATGGAATATTTTATAGATTCTTTCTTAAATGACAGTTAAAAACAAGTGATAATTTTTGGCTCACACCAGTAGACAAAACAATGTCATTATCAACTTAGAGGAGGATGCAAAAAAATAAATAAAATAAAATAAAATAACCAAAAAACAAACACGAAGAGCTGTATATCCACCCTCTGAAGCTAGAGCTGCCATTTCCCTAGTAATTCTGAGAAGCTTTTTCTTGTTCTCCCTACCACATCCCCCTACCCCCCACCAAATTTATTTTGGCATGAACCACCTACAGGCTTTATACTTTTTTAATTCTTCTATGCTTACACAAAATTGGTACTGTTCCAAACTCCAAGTCTTATATAGATGAGAATATTTAAATGAAGACATTGGACAATTTTCTCATTCTTTAAATGCTGATGACAGGTTACTGAATAAGGTCCCAAAACAAGTAATAGCATCTGATCCACAATCTAAGAATCATCTCACTATTGAATATCATCATTCCTGCCACATTTTACTTTCCTAATGGGTACTTCTAAGTGAAGTCAGTGGAAGGATTTACTACTTATCTCTGTTCATTTAAACCTTTGAGGGCCCATTATGTGGGGACACTCCAAGGTGA